AGTCAACGACAAATAGCGAGCGCCTATAGCAATTCGAACCCACCCCGCCACGGGTGGGTGGGTCGAGACAGGCGCTCTAATCAGCTGAGCAATCGGAACAGACACAAAAAGTTGTGGGCGGTACTCAGCCTAACTTTTATTCATCGTTTGACGAAGTAGTTCCACTAAACAAAGGATGCCCATTAATGCGCTTACTGTTCGACATTGCATAACTTCCTGAGTAACTGCTTTTGACTTCGTGTGCTCTAAGACAGGCGAGTCGCATATCTTGAATTCCTAAGTCCATACGTCATTAATCCTTGCGAAAATTTCAGCATGCAGGCGATGATCTTTAAAATGGTCGCATTTGAACCGCGACAATACATCTCACATGACAGAACCAAAATAACAGCATCCCAAGGCACCTTGGGCTCATGCTCGTTTCGAGTACATACTCTGACAACGAACACTGTACGCACAGCCTGCCTCGTCACTGGGCGAGGCTGCGTGGTAAGCAACTGGGCAGCATGACAGTGCCTATCGCAACCCAGTCCCCGGCCGGACCGTGTCGCCGCAGCAGGCCCCATGGATGCTGCTGCCCGCCAAGAGTTGGTCGTCATGGAAACGACTGACACGCCGCAACGGTAGTGATGGAAGATCATTTCGGGATACAAAGTGCTTCCAGTGGCATTTTAAATGTGCACATCCATTCACGTAGGACAACGACAACCCGAATGCAGCTTTTAAAAAATCGGAGAAGGAACGGACTACCGTTTGAAGTTAGGTTATTGCCACGCATCGTCCTGAGACCAATTTCAAACTTCCGCGGAAGGTAAAAAAGAATCGGCTCCTTGCCCTCCCCGTTCCACCGTCTATGCGACTGTGTCAGCTTAAAACACTTTCAGGGACTTTTTGCCCGTAAGCAGTGCACATGCTCCCCAGCTCTGAGTATGACCCTTCACAATGCCACCCGATTGTGACTGGTGCGATGTTCCATGCACAGGAAGGACGAAGGAGAGTGGGGCGCTTTGTACGCTTTGCATGCACGGCCCCCGATGACGCCAGATTGTGACATTAGCCCATGAACATGCATGGCAGATTGGCCTCATTACGTGCAAAATCACTGTCTCGGAGCCCTAACCACTTTTGATCACCACCGGGCGACGGGGGGGGGGGGGGGGGAGAAAACAGACCAGTGACTGTGACGTCGGTTAGGGGCCCAGCTCTTTTGCAGCGATGTCGTCAGGGCCAGTTGGAAGCTGCTGCCCAGGAGAGTGGGGGAACAGCGGGGCCCTACTCGAGGTAACACCAATGACAGAGCTTGGGTGACCGGCTTCCCCAGAAACAAAATGATTACTTCTCCGGGGAAAGTTGAGCTGCAAACCAAGTGCCGTGATTAGGCTATCATCTTTGTTAAAACGTTGCCTAACAACACTTTCCAGGCTCCGATTAGACAGCTTTACATCCGAGAACAGCCTGCTCAGTCAGCCCCACTCAACGCCACTTCGTGCCTGTGCTCGCTTTCATTCGCCTTTGGCAACCCGTCCCCAGTTCATTACACTTCCGGATCTAGTTGCAACACGCGCGACGCTCGCCATCACCCGAGTCCCAAACCGACGGCACTCCTCCCTACATCCTGGAGCACGGCGGCGAGCGCGTGAGACCGCCCCGCACTCTGGCCTCGTTCAGCTACGTGCGGCGTCCGGTGGCGCAGCGTGGCGTGTTTTGCCGCCGTCAGCGGCCGCGTTGCTGGCGCCGGAGCCGGCACACTTTCCGGTCCGGGAGAGGGTCGCCGGCCGGATCTGGCGGGCACCGGGATAGTCTGGCGGTCGGCGCCGGCACGACGGAGGAGGAGGAGGAGGAGGACGGTGACTGAGACTGAGTCGGAGTCGGAGTCGGAGTCGGAGTCGGAGTCGGAGACAGAGACAAAGACGAAGGCGGAGATGGAGACGGAGACATAAACGGAAACTGGCACAGAAACAGAGGCGCAGAAGAAAAATGAAAATAAACAGCACGAAAAGGAGGGGAGAGCACGCAAGCGAGGGCGTAAACGCAATGCAAACCGGACGGTAGTAAAAAAAGAATGAGTGTACTAGAACATCGGGTCCGTGTCAGAAGAGGCAGCCCTTTTGACTGGACTATCCCATGCCTACATGTACACCCAAGAGAGGCCGGACAATTTCCTTCGCAGCTTTAGCAATGCAATCATGGGAAGGCCGTAGTGAAAGCCGCTTGGAGTAACCACTTCTTGGACAGGCAAGAAAGCACCATGAGAACTCAAACAGTGCCCTACATCCGCCACCGCTGTAGACACGCTGGGCTCCATGATCACGTTGCTGTCACTTGGCATCTGATCATTGACCAGAAAAGAAGAGTTGCATTGACGTAGCCGGGGTCTCACCCAGGAGGGGATACATTGGGTAATAAGGAAACTATCCGGCCGTGTGGTTCCCTCATTGTCGCTCATTGTATTTTTTGTTTCGTTTTTTTAGTTGTCCTTGTAGGCTTGGTATTTAAATATGATGCTTCGTAAGCCCGTTTCGTAATTCAAAAAGCTCTTTGGGAGCCTCACGCGGACACAGGCCTGCTGAGGCCTTTGGTCCAAAGGTGACCCCGCCACCCCCCAGAGTGAGGGGGAGGCATGACCCACAAGCTCTCCTTAACTACCCCCGGACAAGTGCATTGCATTACCCAACAAATCCGACCACGACGCGGAACAACATAATGCTTCAGGGTAAGTTAGTGTTATAAGTGAATGTAAAAGAAGCCCTAGTTTTACGGCATCGTTAGGTCTCACAATGAAAACAATCAGCTTTCAAAACAGTATTGCTTATATGCTTTATTACAAGCGTCGTCATAGTGCATGTCAATGGATGCTTCATGTCTTCATTTGCCCTACGCCTCCTGGTACATCGCAAGTTGGTAATGATCAGTGCTAAAGCTCTGATCGTTACCAAGGCTCGCCGAGGCACGGTCGGCCCGGGTGCCCGGTCTCCCACAGTCCGGGCCAACAGCACTCGGCGCGTCACCATCAGGGTAGCTGTCGTCACGACCACGTCACAATGCGGGCGCGCAGCGGCCGGTGACGCCCGGACGGTCTCGGGCTTCGCCCCCCCCCCCCCCCCCCTCCTCACTCCCCAACCGCCCGCGCCATGGCCTCTGACCTTCGCTGTTTCGAAATGGCACGGCTCAATCAGGGTCACGTGGTCGTAGGCCCCGGCGCAAGGACAGCGGCAGTGGGCCAGGCGGGAGGCCCGTAGTGCCGCCAACACTCAAGGTCTCAACACTCCAGTATGATAACAGGATCGCCGCCAGCGTTGCTCGCGGCGCCGGTGGGGGAACTATGAAGCAGTGTCCCATGGCGGGAATATTCATGCAGAATACACACCAGGGCCGACGGAAGTGACAGTGGAAATGTGGGAACCGGATGTTTTTCATGTACGGCAACTGTGACCTTGGGCCTTGCACTGCTGGTTTATTAAGCCTCAGCTGGAGTATGCTGCGGATAGACGTTTGAACAGCCATGTGGCTTACGCCAGTGTTGCTATGAGGGCTGAACACTTGGTTTGGTTTCGGTGTTTCAATGTCCGGAATTTGTGTATAATTGCGATAGCTGTGTTCGAGTGAATTTATCACATCCGGGAGATATCCAAATGTATTTTCAATTGAATTCAAGTATGGGAGAATTCTGGATCAAGGAGATGGATCATTTTCAAAGGTCAGCACAGACGATCCCCATTTTTCACCACCTGCATAAATAAGATAATTCAAAGAGCTCAGATAAGTAAAAACAATCCAGTACATAATAGAAAGTTATGGTATCTCCTGCCGAACCCACCAAAATTTATTGTGCTCTATGCCTGGCGATCGTAAAACAGCAATTGCTGCGCATTGCCGTCTAAAACATGTTTGCATGGAGCCCGGCAGACTAGTGGTGTCCCAGCATTGCGAAATAGGCCATCAATGCTAGATTTATGCCCAAGAGTCAGGGAGATAGAGGGCATGGAAGTTAACTGCTAGGTCCGATCCGTGTGTGATACACGGATCGGATGTGTGTCACCTGTGATAGAGATAGAGCGCTGTGCTGCAGTGTACCGTGTATTTCTTTAATATTTGCGTAGCTTTTCGGCGGACATTGTAATTATTTCGATTATTCCAGCACGGACTTTGGCAAGTGAAAATTCACCAAATCCGTATCCGAATGCTCAGCTTTTTAATAACGTATCACTGATAATTGCAAGGCAAGAGGGAGGCCCAGCGGTGAGCGGGCCGCGTAAACATCGGGTTGGTGACTGACTAACTACGCCAGCGCCAGCGGGTCAGTGATGGTGGATAGCCAGCTACGCAAGCGCCAGCGGGGCAGTGGTTTTGCCAGCGCCAGCGGGGCAGTGATGGCGGATGGCTAGCTACGCTAGCGCCAGCGGGGCAGTGGTTTTGGGATGGACGATGCCAACTGCAGCTACGCCAAGTCTCGATTCGTTACGCTCCATCAACTTTTTCACCAACTCCACGCAAAGTGCGATTACTCTTTTGGGCATCAGTCATGCACCAGCCCCGTAAACTGCATAATTTATTAAGCAACACAAGGCACGCTTATCTTCATAAGAAGACTCACAGGACATCCAGTATCATTTACTCCGCACAAAATACCATCGAGATCGCCTGCGCAACCAGCCCCAACAACGCCGTTGCGCCATTGTTGTCAGGACCGATGCCCGTGGTCCAGGCCGGCGGCTATCGCTGTGACCATGGGTCCGTGCCCCAGTGACCCAGACCGTGACCCAAGGCCGGTCACATGACCTACGCGTACCTAGCACCGTGACTTGTTTCCCGTCACCCAGCATCCGTGACCGGCGGCCCCTGTACTGGCACCCCGACCGTTTTTCAAGACAGCCTTCCGCGACAACATCCCGTGACGAATGTCACATAATCGGCCACCGTCCTGCTGCTCTCCCTCCCCCCCCCCCCCCCCCCCCCACTAGCCCAGCGCGGTCCAGCGCGCGGCCGGCGGCGCCGCTCACCTTCCCGGCAGGTGAGGATCTGCCGGCTGCGGCGGACGAAGTCGCGCAGCTCGGCCAGCGCCCGCTCTCGGCCCTGCTCGTCCTCGTTCAGGTCGAGCCGGGCTCGCTCCAGCACGCAGCGGCTGAGCGTGCGGCGCGGCACGTCGGCCTCCTCCGTCAGCGGCAGCTCGAGCTTGCCCATGACAAGCGGCCTGCAACAGAGAGAGGGAGAGGGGAGTCAGAGGGAGCTTAGTGCGGCCAGCCGCTTTACACAGCGGTATACTGTGTTTAAGCCTTGAAGGTGCAGGTGGCGGCTCTTAAAGAGCCGTGTCATGTGCTTTGAGAGTCGAGCACGCAGCCTGAAGACGTGGACGCGTCTGCATGATCTGCGAATGCTTCCTTCAGCAGTTGCTTTCGGCACCAAGACAAAGACGTTACTTAACTTACTAACATCGATTGAACATTACGACTGCTTACGGCACTTCCAGCGCACATTTTTTGCAAATTTTGCTCATTTCCCATCCGAACGGTGGCGTCATCCCTCAGCAGCTGGTCAACGAGGACAAGGTCGTCACGCAGCGTCATGGGCATGAGACTCGTCGGTACCATTTGAGCGCATAGCAAGCTATCGGGGCGCCTCTCACCGCGAAGTGTCACAGTTGAACAGATGTGGGTCAAGAGGTAAGCAGCTGCAGCGGTTTTACGAGGCCGTGCTGAGGCCTCGCCAGACCATGGGCCCATCAGCTGGAAAGACGAGCGGGCCGCATTCCAGGCCAGGCCGCCCAGGAAGGGAGAGCCCGCTCACGGACCACCCCCGCCGCGCAGCCGTGACCCACATGGTCTCCAAACATAGAACCTGTCTCGGCTTTAGGGCACGCTTTCAGCAACATCATTGGATCCGGAGCGCCTAGGACAGCACAGAGAGACCAGTTCGGACACATTTTAACACTCGAACGCCCCGACGCGTGTCTCGGTCAATCTGGACTTCGGGCCACACACGCACGTACGACACGACAGACAGCCCATCAAATTTGGACCTACGAATGTAATTAAAGCTGAACCACAAAGACCATGGCGCCAGCGTGTTAGAAACGTGTCACAGGCTTAATGACCACCTGGGCGGGGAGCCGGTCACCGTCACAGACTTCACCGTTTATGGGGTGCCGACACATGGAAGACGTCCCGACACCGACGAGTTCTGAGCGCACTGACGTCACCAGCCATTCAGCGTGCGCATCCAGAGCCCCCTGGAGGCGCCGACGGCGAGCGTCCGCCGTCGCGGACGCGGCGTCGGACCCCGCGTCACGCTGCGCGTCACGGCCTCGTGACGCGGCGCGTGGCCATGATCCCGAGGGCCGGACGCGCTGGCGGGGAAACCTCACGCGAGGGACGCCGTTTCTGGTGCTCCGGTTTCGGCGCGTGAACACGCGAAGGGTGAGAGCGCTACCGCTGAATTGGCTTGGTAAACACCCTCCAGCGGGGCAAGGTAAGTATAGCGTCTAGATGTCTAATTATGTTGGTGAAATGTGTTGTTTTGAAGGTGCGAACAGACTAACATAATGTGTGGGGTAGACAACGTGATATGGCGTCAAATTATGCACTCAATTAATATAATGTTATAGGAAGGAATACAAGGCGACGGCTTCCTTACCGGTGACCCACGACCTCCCCCTATCCCAAAATCCATAAAACCAATCTAGTAAATATCCCGCACCTTCCATCTCGTCATGAAGTACGAGGTACGGTCACTGCCATACCGAGGTGCCTGTCATCCCATGGCGCTGGCGGCGCCGGGGACAGCGCCGAGGAGTCACCCCTGGACGGCGTTTCTGATCGGGGGGAGGGGGGGGGGCAGTGCGTGATGCCCGCCCGGCGACCGCTGTGGTTTCACGGTCGTCGCTCGCACGCGGAGAGTGCCGCCGACGTCGGGCGGAGCGCCCGGTGTCCGCTACGCTCAGCGGCTGCGCGACACGGCGCTGGCGCCGGCCGGGCTCGACCCAACTCACGGCGGGGGACCAACGGCGGCCAGTGGACCGCAACCGACTGATTGGCCGGTAACTGGACCAAGGTTCGCGCGGCCGGGACTCGGAGTGGGAGGGGTTCCTGTCGGCCCGACTCAGGCAGACCGGCGCGCCCGCCCCGGCTCCGTAGGCCGGCCGGCTGACGGGGCGTTTAGACCGGTCCGCTCAATGTCGGTGACGAAGTCGAACAGATCGCCAAACGCAAACGGGTTTGTGAACAATGCGGCAATCGGGATAACGGACTCCGGTCCGTGACTTGTTGGTCAAGGTCGTCTGCTGCAAATCGTCCCAGCTGGGTGAACAACAATTATGTGACGCACTGAGCATGCTACCGATATAGTTGCATCAGCGAGCACTGACATGTTTGCACACGCGCGTAAATGTCAACACCATATCGCCAGTCTCGCATTTACGGCTTTAATTTGTCACGCGGCGTGCTCAATCATCTTGTTGGCTCGGAAGACATATCTTCTATCACCATGGGCTGGATCCAGATGGACACAGATGCGCACACTGATCACATGGGAAGTTTCGTAACGAACATTTCGCTACCAGCCGTCATACATTCCACGAAAGTTGCGCCGTGCGTGGCGCACTGGTGACAGTCCGACGTAAGCCCTTCATCCCCGTACAAGTTCCATGTTGGCAGCAATAGACAGATATGGCCGCACTCGGCGCAGAGCCGAATGCGGCCATATCTGTGTGGTAATGCGGCAGAGCAAAAAGTTCCAGCCCGCTCGCACACTCCGTCTCTATCCCATGGGTCCTACCCAGGAAGCGCCCAATCAAAGCAACCGGGCGTCTCTTGGATGTTTTCCGGACGCTTTCCGTGCGTGACGTTATCCGGACCGGTGACAATCAGAGGTGCGCACGCGAGGAGTTTCTCCGCGGCACGCAGGACAATCGCTCCGGCGTGACGCCGTTGTCGCATCGGGACGGCGTCTGCCGTACACGCAGAGAAAAGCAGAAAAAGGAAACCGGCTGAGGCCCGACAATGCCCAACCGATGGTTTCGCCTGGCGGAAAGGGACGGCCGGGCGGTGTGAAAACGGCCGGGAAATGTTGACAGGCCCCGGCAGAAATCGCGAGCGCTGAAGACGATAACTTCACAGGGATTCGTTTTTTTGGGACCGAGTTCAAACACACATATTGTTATCCATGAAGCCCAGAGACCAATATAAGGGAACTTCTGCCCCACATGAGATGCTTGCTGCATAACTGACAGTATAACTATGGACACACGGAATCTTGAAGAATACGGTTTTTGATTATGAACACGGAAGCGACTTGCCTGCTCTGCCCATATGAGCAAGCGGCGCACCACCCCAAAAAAACATGCATCCATATGTACCTATGTGACGGACAATCGCCTTACTATCAAACGTAAGATGCCCACGAACTAAAGGTGTGCGCGTAGCTCAAGCCATACACGCGGAGCAATCACAGCCCATGTTTAGTGCTGCCTGGTGCCGCCTAATTAACTGATGATTAACGTGGTCGGATCATTACTCCGTCGGAAGGCAACGGACGCAAAAAGAAAGCAGCCGCTGTTCCGTGAACAATGCCCCCTACTTCGTTTTAAAAAAGCTACCCAGATTATGTGTCAGTGAGGCAGGCCTGCGCTTACCAGCAGCTGGTCTGAAGTTTGTTTGTGACCAGCCTGTCGCCGATGAGTTGATACGCACCGGCCTAACCTAGGTTAGGCAGGGCAAGATCACGTGACAGTAGCACCGAAAGCACCCGCCATTACACGCTTGGAAAACCGTTGCCCGTGACATACATAGCTGATTGCTTTAAACCAGCTTCGATGACCACCTATCACAAACGGGTGGCTGAAACAGTTCGCGAAGACCTTCGCCGACTACGCGTTCCCAGCATCTTACGGCAGTGGTCAATACGTAGCTACCTGGAGCCGAAAAAATCCAATAATAATGACGTAATGACGTAGACGTAATCTCATCGCCAAGTCTGACGACTAGGAGGGATCGGGGACTCAGGGTCAATCACATAGAAAACCTTTGGGATTCCGATGCACTTCAGTCTTGAACGCTCGATGTTCGCCTAATATACTGACCCAGGTTTGACCAGGGAGATAATTCTGTCAAGTTGTTTATGGCAGGGATACGTCCCCCTCGAAATAAACAGCTTTTGCTGTTTGAGTGCCTTGGACAGTTTCTGGTGGTTCAAGCCCATGTTTAGGGGATTAAGACAACATTGGAGTGCCAAGCCGCAAAGGTCCGTCCAAAGAGGTGCAAAGCTCAATCCGTCTATCGTTTTCTTTATTGAATGAAAGTACCTACGGCCACATTAATTATCAAGCGGGCAGTAAATTAAACCAATACACACAATCCAAGAAGCCTGTTCAGCGGTCAGGCCATGCGTATGTGATGCGCAGAATATGCGTTCCTGACGCACGATGCAGTACTGCATCACGCTGTTGCGATCGTTTGTTCAACCAATCGTCCTCAAAACACAAACCGGCCGAGATCATCAGCTCGAACCTTTCCCGCGTCTCTGGCGTAACCCCGGAAGCTGGTATCGTTGGGAAACGACACCGTTCGTCTTATGCGGGGTCGATTCTCCAATTCGCGGCCGCTTGACCCCGGGCGGCGTTTCCTTATTCAGGTGGCACTCACGCGCCCGAGACCCGGGGACCAATCGGGTCACGCGATGGCCGCGTGGCTCTCGGCGCTTCCTCCATCGGCCGCCCGTTTTAGCATTTGAAAGGCCTTCGTGGCGGGCGGCGACGGCCAGACAGCTTGGAGACGGTCAGACAGTTTGGCGGGCGCCGGTGTCGAAATAGGCTTAGCTCCGTCTCCCGCAGGCCTTCCCGGTTGTCCCAGGCGCGCGTCAGCGACAGCGCGGCACTTACGCAACGACTGGTGCCGGCGCCGGCTCAGGCCGGGTGCCGCGGGTACGGGTATCCTTGGGATCACTTCCGCCACCCTCCGTACTTGTCCTCCAGCCCGGGGCGCTGTCCTTGCAGGCAGTCTGCTTCCTCCCACCAGCCGCCCAGCGGGGAGCGAGAGCGGCCATGAACGTGCGTGTTCCGCCCGCTCACGGTTCTCCCAGACGCCCCGGCAACAGGCGGAGAGGAGGTCGTCGCAGTCGGAACTCATTGAGCCTCACGTGTGAAACGAAATCGGGGCTGCAGAAAAACTTACGTGATGGGCCCATGAGGCAGCAACGCTTGCCATGACACAAGCGAAGATATATCAGCAACCCCTTGCTATGGATGTTTTTGGCGAGGGAGTAATCCTGAATAATACACATATTGGCGAGAAGTGTCCACGATTGCTTGTAAGCGTGTTGCGCAACACGATTGTGTAAACAATGTGGGCGATGCCCCTGTCAAGATTGTGCTGAAGCTTCAAAAATTGCACATACCAGACTCAGTGCGTTGACTTTACTGCAGCAGCCAGTCCCCTTAATCATGTACTGAAGGTCATAACGGATTGAATTCATCTCATAGCACATCTGTTGTCCGACGCAACGACGAACCGTCCTCCAGCTCAGCAAAATGCAAAGCAAAAACCACTTAAGGACCATCCAAAGCCCACCACGTAATTTACACAAACCCCACTACCTGCATGAAAGGGTTCCCCGTCCAGTGCACGTGCGCGCAAACAGCAATTTGAAGCGACTTCAAACCTGGTCGTCGCTTTCCCACGGCTTGCCGCCACCAGCAATTACATTGTTTTCGGCGCGGCGGTCGGTTTTTGCTCGCCACCTCCGCCCGGGTACCGCGGTCAACACGGCGGAAACAACAGGGCGACGACAACGGTCCGCTGGGCACCTGGAGCCAGCCGCGTGCAACGGCGCATCGAGGCCGCGCCACCGGAAACGGAAGTGGAGAGCACGGCGCGCCGTGCTGGCGCCGGTCGGGCCGGATCCGGCCCACTACACTGAGGGCGCGATGCTGTTCGCTGAGTAGAGAACGCGCTGGCGCGCTGCGACTGGGTGGGGTGCCGGGGACCGACTCGACACGGTTCGTTTCAACTGGGCCATCGGATACTGGACAGTCAGCGGAGTTCATGTAACTGAAATCATGTAGTCCGGTCTGGGGATTTGAGAATGGCGTAGGAGCGGACACTGGATACCACCGAGGCTCTGCTTTGAGCAGTTCAACACCAATGTAATCATAACTCACTAAAGCCAGAAACCAATAGTAGCAACAGCCATACATGACATCCCGAACACAAAAGCGTCCTTGTCCCTAACTAGGCCAACTAAACCCACGGACTTCGCCCCGCCGCCCACAATGCCGTTATCAGCGGCGCTTTCGTCAGCACGCGGCGCTGGCCGGCCGGCGGCCGGGCGGGACGTCAGAGCACTGCTACGCCGTGGCCGCAGGTCAGGTCATGCGCCGTGCGGGCGGCGTCCGTTGAGGCCACGGTCACCACACGGTGACCGGACGGGACGTCAGCGCACCGCCACGCCATGGCCGCAGGCCAGGTCACGCGCTAAGCAGGCGGCGTCCGGTGAGGCCACAGTCGCCGACCGGCGGCCGGGGTCGACACGTCCCGCGGGACGGGCGGGGAGGTCGACGCTCGGGTCGTTAGGCCGGCCACGGGCGGCCGGGACGGGAGTGTGATCACCACTGAGTGGGAGGCGGTGTTGAGGGAGGGATGTCATCAACGCGCCTCTCGGGAGGACCGTGTTTGGACGCCGGCATCATGTGCAAACAGTCCTACACTGCGTGTGTGTGAGTGCGAGTCAGGATTGCGCTGTGTCGCCGTCCCTTTGTTTACAACACTCCGAGAGGCACAAAGGATGACCTCGAAGGCTTCTGACATGGACCTTTAGTGTGTTTCGCAACTCACCACATGCGTTAGAGCAGCTGTGTTAACCCTGATGCCTTCGCCGTTGCCTCCGCGTTGCCCAGACGTCAGGTCCTCCAACTATGTAACATAAGGTCTACAAGTGTGCGTATTGCATCCTTTCGGCAACATGCACACTGCGGTCACCTCCAAGAGAAGAGAACTAACTGTTCGCACGTTATGTTTGCTTCATTTTGCTCGCAGCAGAGACACTCTACGAAACCCTTATTTAGTATCTCCCACACACACAAATTCCGCGCCGTAGTTTGAGGTCGATCAATGCCCCAGTCGCGAAAACGAGCTACGTTGCCACGAAATCTAACTGTGGCGGCTCGAGGCAGGACTAGCGGAGACTCGGCGCGCCACTTTAAGCGCTCTGCGCGCTCCTGTCAACTGCTGGCGTGCACGGACCACGTGCGTGTATCAGCTGCGTGCTTCACATTGACAGCGCTGTGCGGTGTCCGACCAAAGGTTCCCGGGGTACGGTGCCGGCGACACGGACCTGCATCTGCTGTTCAGCGTACGCTGCACTGAGGAGACCGAGCAGACAATGCGCCCGCGGTGTTCTGACGGGCGTTTGACACGCGTCAGGCCTATGCGTCCGACCCAACGGCGAACCGGAGTGAACCGGAGAGTACCCACACCTCTGAAGAGCGCATGTGACGTGTGAACATAAGTGGTACGTAGACGGCACACTACCGCGAGCGAGATGCGTCGTCTCTCATCCCGCCTTCCTGTGCCCTCCGCTCGCGAGCAGGGCTGGTGCGGCTGACCGCACGCCTACGCTCGTGCGACATGAAATGTATCGCACGTCATCCACCGAAAGTAAAAATCTATTGTCGTTGTCTATTGTCGTTGGTGTCACGCACCACTGTGTGCGAGGCAGGGTTGTGCTGGCTCCGGCCACGTAGCGGAGTCTCCGCGATAGCCGACGGCGTGGCTAGCCAGCACCATGACAACGTCCACAACCAGCGAGAAACCCGCCAACGATAGGCCGACGGCCACGCCGTGAGTACGTCAGGACAGCTGCACATACTTCCTAGCTGAGCGGCACTCGATCTAACAATCAGCGCGGCCGTCACGCCGGCTCGCCGATGCATGACGATCGTCACGGATCGGGTGACGACCGCACCCGTCACCCGAGGTCAGCTGTCGCCGGCGGGCCTCCAGCACAATTGCGGTCAGGTATGCTAGGCCCGATTTGCGTAACTCGCTGGGAGTAAAGGGTGAGTTCGACGCTCTGTGGTGGGTGTGATATGTCCCAGTCATGCACGAAGGTACATCATTTTAAAATGATGTAGCACGAGGCTCTGTTTGCACCATAACTGGATGACGCCGAACGTTACGTTACGACGTGCAAGTCCGCTGATTCAAAAGGCATCACACCGTTTGCCCTCTCTTGGTTTCCTCATGTGGTAGTCTGGCCAACGTACAAACGAAGGGTGCAGGAATACCGTTCCCCACCCCCACAACCCTCCATGTCATCGATCCTCTAACCGCACAGGCGGTCCTAGGTTTCTATTGGCAAGGACGAACGAGTGATTCAACGGCAAACTTCTGCCCAATCACGGCAGCAACCAGGCGAGTGGCTTCGTGGTTAAATGGTGGGAGTGTGTGTGTGGGGGGGGGGGGGGGAGGGGCAGGGGAGCTTCGGCCCACAAAACCGTGAAAATACCGCGAGTCCAGCTCAGGAGAAGCCATTTTTCCGGGGATGGATGTGGGGGTGTTTATTTTCCTGCTCAGCACCCAGCTTGTTTGCGGAACTGCGTCCGTATCAACCACAACACATTTATTCCCTGAACCCTGTCCTGGCGGCGTATCTGGCCCCTGAACCCTGTCCTGGTGGCGCCTCTGGCCCCCGTCAACAACAGCCCGGGAAACATCGCGGTCGTGCCGCAGTGGCGTCCCTTGTCCTCCCGCCGTCACGCACCGATCAATACCGCGCCGGCGCACACGCACACGCACAGCTGGCGCGCGCGCGCTCCTGCTCGAGGCCAAAGACCCCGGATGGGGGAGGGAGCGTGGGGACGGGGGGGGGGGGAGTATAAGGTTCGCATAAACAGGTCAGCGCGGGCGAAGTGCGGCGTAAATAGCCGACGGCAGCGCTGTGTGAAAGGTGCCGGTCGCTGGCGCCCGCTGACTGAGGGGGGGGGGGGGGGGGGAGGGGGAGGGGCGGGGCTCCGGAGTCCGAGAGGGAGGGCAGGCTCGGAGCGACTGGTTTGCGCGGGTTATTGCCCCTCGCGGAACATGAGCGGAAGAAGCGGAGCAGTGAGCACGACTACGTGATGTGCTGGCGGAGGCATGCCCTCTGTGCGAAGAGGAGAGAAACTTCTTCCCGCAGCTAGACAAAGACCGAATACACGGTCATGGTGTTCGCATAAAATCATGCCAACGTGATATAAGCCATTCTCATGACAAAACGATACGTGTTCAACGAGTGTAACTGGGACTGAAGGCCAGATTTCTATACTGTCATCTGCAAACTGGCATCACGATATGTGCGGACGTAACCGACGCTTGAGTCCGTGGGATCCGGTCTCCGGTATTCTTTGGGCAGACTAGGATATTTGTGTTTTGATCACATACGAGTGTCCAAATAGAGTTGGATCCAGTAATGTTCCTGACGTGGTTACATCTCATCCATTACGAGATGCCGCTTGTTTTTCTATCGCAAACTAATACAGAAAGGTGATGCTGAACTTAGCTATGCAAATGCTGCTGTCGCATCTTGATGACTACTCTTGTTGAGAATGGGTTAGCAATATGGTGGACGCACTTGCACATCACGGCTTTTGCGCTCTCTCGCCTACCCCAGCTAACTAAAAAAGACTGATGGAGGCGTACATAACGTGTGAACATGGGCCACTGTAGAGGCATGCCATAATGAAACCATAAAATGCCCTCGAATTGGGCAGTTCCCTGTTCCTACCAGCATCAGCATTTCCTTACGTCTAGTTTATCCACCACTTGACTGATATTTTTTATCACAGCACCGTTGCAACCACTATTCCTGCGTGCACGTGCAGGCAACCGCAGGCATTGCTCGCAATGTCGTATGTCGCAACCATGTTGGAATCACATCCTGCTGTGAGAGGGTAGGCGCTCACTTCAGCCCGACCAAATACACGTTAACATTGAGTCCTCCACACAAAACAGAACAACGACACGACAACGCAAAAGCAGAGTGTGGCTTTGCAATACGCGTTGAATTACAACGTCCGAAGAGACCTCCGCCGGATACTCCAGAGCCGTCGCTCGCCCGGCTCCACACGCTCACCTTGCTGAGGCTGGCCGGGGAGAGCCCGAACTACTTCAGCTGGCACCGTTGGTCGCACGAGGTGCCGAGGCCGTTCCCCACTGTACCGCTGCAGTCCCCACCGCCCCCAGCATCCCACTGCGGCAGCCTAATACGGGCGCCAGTCCGACGGGGCCGCCTCACTACTGCGCGCTAGTGCTGCCATCTAGCGTCAACGCCAGAAGCAGTAATGCGGACCACGCCGAGGCAAAACTGATCACGTGGACCGCGATGTTTCCGATCCCCTTCCCTGCTGCAATCCCATCACAATTTAGCGGGAGGTAATCCGAAGCGATCACCCCAGCTGAACTTCCACAAACGCAGCATTTCAATCCACAGAATAGCCAAACCTCAATGGGTCCGCAGCCAATCATTCATGAAATAACACCCAACACCTAACCTAACCTAACCTAACCTAACCATACCAAAAAATAATCACATCAAATACAGGTGAGTCATATAAAAAACAGGTGAAAAATGGTAAAATGCAAATCAGGCCTGTGGAGCCCAGTACATCCCAACCTGGGTAAAAACAATGAAACTGGGGGATATGCGTCCCAATTTTCCTTAGACGTGATTCAATCCCCTCCGATTTTACCTGTACCGACCAAACTGCATGTTCTCCACGTTTTCCCTTTCAAAATAACATTTTCGGGTCAAGATGCCCTCCACTGATTCCAGCCAGACCACCTAATCCTGATTTTCCTTCAAATGTCAGAGACGCGATTACACCCACATATCTCACACAAAGGTTCTGCAGCGCCAGGAATTATGCTGGTTGGTATTTTACCCGTGAAATTCTTCGCCACATGCCCATTGGGCGAATACGGACCCATGGCCAGGAAAACGTGCTCAACATTTTCACACTACAGATATTTTAAGTCACGGAATCCTTGAAGAAAACGTGTGCACCCTGATCTGCTGCTCAAATAGCAGACTGATACAAGATGACACAAGTCCACGGCGATGCATGGAAAAAAAGACGTTAGGTACGCATCTGACCGACCCCTTCTAATACGTTTATTAAATCAATTTTGATTTAATCAATAATAAAATCATTTTACCTCACCGCCGAGCCGTTAATAAGCGGCGCGACTCGGGGCACAAGAATGCAGCCCCGCATGCCCAAAAAGCTTGTGGTTCGATGTGCAACACAGACTCATGCTGTGGCCATGCTTACATAGCTGGTCGTTGTGGACGCTCGCGTGAAACCGGTGTCGTGATCACCATTCGCAATTTCGTCGCTCAGCGGCGACACTGTATCATGCATTGGGTAATATAAGTTACCTCGCCCACACAGCCATACGTGAGACATGGTCTTTATTATCACCTGTCATCATAAAACCAACACACAAGTGCAACACCTGAGTACCTGTTCCGGGAACCCCAACTACCCATTGCTCGCCAAGTATCGAATGAAACACAGTGCCAGCAGTATTCGGCACATCACGCTGTGCACACATTACACACGTGTTTACATGCAGTGCATAGCTGAGTATCCTCCTTCCTGCATCCGGGGTGCGGAGCGCGAGCCACGAGTCTCGCTAGGAATGTAGGCACATTGCGAGATTATTAAACCGAGATCACTAACAGCGGCCACACCCGGCCGATTGATCACAGCCGCGCTTAGTTCCATCTGGGATTTCACGACCCCTGAGCCAGAAACGGCGGCCGACCACGGACGACCGTGACTTTATGTCAACGCGGAGGGCGCACCGAGGTGATGATGCCGTCCAGGGAGGGCACCTCGCCCTGTTTGAAGCGCCGGTAGTCTAGCATCATCTCCTTGAAGTGGTTGAAGTCGGAGAAGGAGAGCAGCAAGTCGAAGATGTCGCCGTCCAGGTCTTCCGGACGCTCACTGCGACAAGGCAGTGCATGCATGGTTGTTGTGGACTTGGTGTGAACATCACCCAGTTATGAAGCTTAAACATCATCTCCAAACGCAGTGCTGTGGAGATGCACAGCATATATACGTAAATCAGAACAGTGAAGGGCTTTAGGAGCTTAATGGCCAAACAACCCGCCACTGAGGTCTCACAGGATTACATGAAGCTTGAAGGGACTCGAGCCTAGCCTCGAGCCTAGCCTCGAGCCGCCAGCGCCAGCCGCCGCACACCGCTCGACTTACGCCATCTGGGCGAGGAACGCGTCCATGGCGAAGCCGGGCAGCCGATGCCGAAGCTCCGTCTCCAGGTGGCCCTCCACCAGCCGGCTGTACTGGCCGAACAGCTCCATCCACTCCAGCCGGTTCTCCTCGCCGGCCGGCTCGAACAGCGCGTAGTGCTGCTCCACGAACTCACGCTCGGCGGAGCGGAAGCTGGCATCTGCGGTCCGGGCACACTGGGCTAGCGGCTCTGCGGCCCGGGAAGTGCACGGGGGGGGGGGGGGGGCTAGCGTGACCGCGGCTCGGGCACAATGTGGAGTGGCAGGGGGGGGGGGGGGCTGGCGGCGCCACTACCCCAGCACAGTGGGGAGGGGGCTAGCGGTGCTGCGGCCCCAGCACAGGCTACCGACACCGTGGTCTGGGCACAGGGGAGCTAGTGGCGTCGTGGTCGGGGAAGTGGGGGGGGGGGGGGGACAGAGACGTCGTGGTCCGGGCAGTGGTGGGGGGGGGGGCTAGCGGCGTCATGGTACGGGCACGGGGGGGGGGGGGGGGCTAGCGGCGCCGCGGCGGCGTCACGGCGCACACTAGTTGGCCGCACCGGCGGCCGCGCCGCCAACAACACAGACCGAGGCAGCAGTGCTGTAAGTTGAACTTTTATTTCGTATTTATGGCGAACGTGGCCGTGTGGCAATCATTGAGGAGGAAAATTCGCGACATGATGTATCACAGAGATGAATGCACCAACAGCAGAAAACTTCCAGTGCATCCCTCTTCAGTCACATGCATTTCATCACAAATCTGTACAGCAACCTACATCTTCTATCAGTTTGCTATCTCACCAATACATCAAATGCTAGATAATCAGTGTCTACTCACCCATAATGATATCTTCAATCTCTCCAATAACATTGTCAAATGAGTTTCTTTCACTGTGGCAATGTATGTTTTCATCCACATCTGCTGCATTATCCAATGCAGCTGCTTGCTCCAGTTCCATCTGCAAACTGAAACAGCAAAAGCTATCAAGCTGCAGCTTTAGACCACCCATAATTGCATTCAATAAGTGCACAAATCTACAGCTTTGGGACCAAAATGATCTTTCACTGACTTAGTTTCATAATATGTCATCACACCACAGTTATGAAGGCCTCAAGCTATGGGCATTCTAGGTGTTTACATACAAACAATCTGAACCAGCTGCATCCCAAATCTCCAACAGCCTGATGGAATCCGCTGTTCTTCAACAGCAGAATGTCCTTGGCAACCTCCACACTGTTGGCACAAGCTCTGCTGCAGGATCCAAGTTCACAGTGAGAGATTTCTGGGTATACAATTGCTTTGGCAGGACACTCAGGAGAGGTGCATAGCTGCAACCTCATTGTTGCTGTCAGGATCCCTGGGTGCCTGGGAAAATGCAGCAGACAAAACTTGCTGACAACCCCACATCCTAAAGTACATGGGACCTCTCAGTACAAAACAAACACCCATTCATTCTGCTTGGTCCATAACCAATTCTTTTCAAAAGATAGTGACCTTGGGCCAGGCAAAAACTCATGGAAAATTTCCTAAAACCAGAACAAATGGTTTGCAGAAAATCCAGCAGGCCATGCTACAAGCCCATCAGACAAACTACCACAAAACCTTCACTAGCTGACTGTGCCAGAGCCAACAACCTGTCCTATCCTTTGCACAAGATTGTGACTTTCAGTCAGGTTAAAGATCATCAAAATGGCTAAAACCACCCAAACTGACAGTAAACCCATATTCTGAGCCCATGGGACAGATGGCCAATGACCAGTTGTGAAGCCAAGAATCCCTTTCCTAATTGGTCAATGTGAGCAGGTAAGGAGCAACAACATACTGAAATCAGGATTGAACCAAGAAACCTATACCTTAATCTGTATCCATGCTGATAAACTATGCCTCCACACCACTAATGTGACCACACAATTGTCACATTTACACAAAATTGGAGCACTGAACCAGGCAAATAGTGCAAGCATGTGCAAACTCACACCAGGCCAAATGTACATAATTTTCAAATTACTTTTGCTTGAAGAAATCTATTACATAATTTTGTCTGAAACCCCTTAGCAAAATCATAATTCCTTGAAACACTGTCCATTCATGAGCCTAAATCCATGGCCACCAGGTGTCAAATCACTTTTACTGCACTCAGATTCATGATGTGTCTGTATTAAAGGAGCTCCTCAATTATGTGGGATTTTAAACTGAAATAATCATCTTGAAGACCTTTTGGTGCTGCTCCCAATCCCATCCTTCTTAAAATCTAAGCCCCTCTAGTCTCTGAGCCACATGCCTGCAAAAGTGGGAAAGGTAAATCAGAGAAAACAGTTTAAGGCAACCTGGGCATTAAAGATGCTATTATAATACCATTTAAATCCTGCCCCTTCATAGGCTGTGGTGTGATTAAGGCCAAGAAAAACACAGTTGTTGAGATGTTTGTATCTGGAGTTTCATGAGGATGATTTCCAGGATAAAATGACTATCATCTGGCTCTCAATCAATGTTGTGCAAGGTACAAATGACATAATCAAAACATGACAAATCATAATGACACCTTGAAAGAAGTATGTTTAGAAAACAAGGAATTGTGCTGTCTAGAGCAGTCATTTCCACTTCAGAAATATACCAGTAGTTACAAATGAGGCTTTTTCATCATATCTGATGCTTCCTTCAGTATCTTCAAATATGAAACATGCCCTTTAAAATTATTGTATGATTCCCTGCTAAGCTAGACATGTGTAGCATAGGATATATTTTTGCAGTTCAGCCTGGCAATCACAAGACTGGGCACACAAATTCACAGCTTGTCTTGCAAGCATGGTCACCTGCTTAGATGATTGTTCCTAAATTTCCAGATGTTCTCCAATACAGAAATAAGTCATGCCCCCACCAGCCTATTGGGCATTATCATGACAGTGTTGCATGGCAATAAGCCTGCGAACCCTCAATGCCTACTCAACTTGCGACCCGCGGTGAAACAAATTATTTTGTAGTTTTTCCAGAAGAACAAGCAAAACCAAAGCATTGCCAACTCAAGTCTCTTTTGCAAATGCAGGTACTTACCCTTTCGTTGTATCAACTTATTTTTGTCCGCGGTGAATACTGATCAACTTTATCCTGTATTTGTTTGCATTTCCTTCTTTAGTTACTTGACAAGAGGTTTCGGCAATTTGTATTGCTTTATTCATCTTGGAATACCGCGTCCATCCTTCCAAATTGATGACGTAAAATATTAATACGTACTCTGTTTTGGGAAAAGCAACCATTTAGAAAAAATTATGTAAGAATTAAAACAATCAATAATTTTGGGAGTCTTTGAATGCAAGATGATTCATTTAAAGGATACTTAAGTTTTATACGTAAGACACTGCCAATAGCTGATATCAGGACAATTGCCTATGCACGCGCGTCATTTCACCCTTGCTGCGGTTTGTTGGTTTGCTGCGCGCCGAGTTACACATTACGGCGCCACTTTCACAGCCGGGTCCAAGGCTACTCGGGTCAAAACACAGTTAGCAGGGGCCAATCAGCGTGACGCGACATCTGTTGCGATTTTCCGGACACAAGTTTCGAACAAATCATTAGACGAATGGGTGACTGGATTCACGTGGAAGTTTAGAAGAGAAATGTCCGACCTTCCCCTTCAAATTTCAAAACTTCATCGTTCGTGGGGCGTGACCGTTCGTTCGCACATTTGCTGAGCCACGTCAACCTGGCAACCGGATGGCGCTTCTCTGACGAGCTGCGAAGGAGGCAAACAGTTTCAGATAGATTCCTCCCGTGCAACGCAAAAGTGATAGCTACATCCTTTCCGGAAGGTGTGTGTGTTGGGGGGGGGGGGGGGGAGGGCTAAGTGCTTAGTGGGATCGTGCCCTTACCACTCTCCTCCTCACATTCGCTGCCCCCCCCATCCGTGATTTCAATTTCCGACGGGACTTACCGCAAAGATGATGGCCTCACTCACCATGGCCCTGGCACTAGCAGCCATGATTCAAAGAATCCTTTTGGGTCGCTGGAGCTGATACCGGCCGATCATCCACCCGCGATACTGTATGCGAGACCGTGTACACCGTGCCTTTCAAATATGAATTCAACGTAGTCTGCGGCGCCTGGCGCTTGTGGATCATACATTCATAGCACGTGCCGCAGGTCGGCGGACCGTCGGAGCCGTCAGCATGGCACAGCTATGCACCAAGCATCTGCCCCTCAAAGCATCTCACACTGCCTGAAGTGACTGGCCCCGCTCGTCACGAACGTCCTACGCCGAAAATGCCCCCGGCGCTCCTGGTACGGACTCCAGTCAAGTGATGGCATGTGAGGGCGTGCTGGGCTGTCACTGCACGCGTATGGTAACACAGGTGACCTGCGGCGTGCACGAATGACCTCATTGTTCCGGCTGTCTGTGCTCCGTTGCGAGCTTGTTCTACGCGGCCGCGCCGCCCTCTCGTGATGAAACGAACGTTCTTATTTCAATCACAATCTCCTTGTAGTGTGACGTCAGCATCGCTACTCGACTCTCTAACCAACATAACGCCTGGCAAGATAGCGCCAAACAACCACAGGTTCCATAGTCATATATTGTGCGGGCGCTTCGTCCACGAATACATGCCCTGCCTGCCCGGTGGGGCGCCTAATTTAGCGAAATCACGAACATAGCTCTAAAGCTGTATACATCGAACTGAACTACCCAAAGTCCTGAAAGAAAGTCGTTCGCCATTGATCAGCTCACAGAGAAGTTAAGCCACCTCAGATAGTCTTAAACTTAAACTCCGCGGGTCAGCTTCGACTCGCGTCCGGGACTTAGGCTACTCAGCTTAGCGTCAAACCAGGGTCATGCATTAGCACCACGGGGTTTCCTTTTCACGCCTTATCGGAATTCGGTTAGACTGGCAGACGGCTGAGGGTGTTCGCCCTCAGAAGTTCAGGCCTCCAGAAATCAGCACGGTCTTGCTCTTCTTGCCTTTTCTTCCCTTGGGCTTGGTCGCCGCGGTGGCGCCTGCAACATGGACTATTATCAGGATAAGTGGGAGTCGGCGGAGAAGTACGGATGGGCCATGCAACACACAAAACAATCTGGGAAATAATAAAAAACCATCTGAAGTGCAAGGTTTTCAAGTCCACAGCTCACCTTCCTGCGCACATTCCAAAACTGGCTCAGGCGATGATCGCAAGAAGGCATGCAATAAAATGCAGCAGCTGTGTTCAGTGCTGGTTCCCTGAACTGCCGAGGACAGCGAAATGTGGTACCAAAAAGGTACGGACGTGAAAAGAAAGCATGTAAGCATTGCTCACCAGCTTAAAAAAACAGCCAGCGTCAGAACGGCGCATCGCTAGCCTTCCCACAGCACTGCTCTGAAGTGAGATGCGTCCGAGCGAGTGTGCACACGCAGACCCGTCATGGCACGTTAGCACCCGCACTGACCTTCACCGCCGCGACCGTGGTCGACCCGCTCCAGGGCGGCGGCCAGGTCGGCCGACCAGCTGTCGCTGTAGCTGGGCGCCGCGCCCGGCTCCTCTGGGCGCACGTCGCCTGCCGGCGCGGCGCTCGCGGCGGCAGCGGCGGCGGCGGCCGGCCTAGCGGCGCTGGGCCAGGCGCCGGTGCGGCGCGCTCCCTGCGAGCGCAGCAGCTGTGCGAACGACGGCGTCGCCGCCGCCGCCGCCGCCTCGCCCAGCTCAGTCGGCTCCTCGACGGCCGGCTCCGACAGCAGCGGCGGCGGCGGGGACGGCGGCCGCTGCTCGGCCACCGGGAAGGCCGCGTCGTAGACGGCGTCGGCCGGCCGTGCGCGCCGCTCGTCCTGGCGCAGTCGCCTCTCGTGCTGCCGCTCGCGCCGGTGCTTGTCACGACGGCGCTGCTCGCGTTTCCTGATCTGGTCTGTGGGCGACGGGCGGCAGCTGTCGGTCCTCGGCTCAAGCGCGGCGAACCCTTCGGTGAACGGCGTTTAGACTAGGCCCGCCAAATACTGTAAGGGGTTACAATGACCCTAAAAACGAATAGCGGGTGAAACAACGTGACGAACTCTTTACCCACTCAATGTGCGATTGTCATTCGTTGCAGCTGCTACAATACAGCGCTGCAACGGCAACAGCAACCGCCTTTCTGTACCAAAGGTCAATTATCATGCAACGACTATGCGAGCTGCATGGACTCAACACTTTGGATGTGACAAAGCACAACACAAAACAAGACATGACACAAACAGCAGCGATCGTTTCTCAGCTTACCTGCTACGAATATTTAGAAAACAATCCCACTCTGCATGCCTTACATGTCGCCCTCCAAACCGTTACGCGATGAATACAGAAACTGTGACAACTCACACCGCACGTCGTAGAACTTGCTCCAGTTCGCTCTACACCGGTAACCAGGCCAGCGACCAATGTACCTCTGAACTGGCGTCACTATGCCAGCATTACCTTTGGAGGTGCTAACAGTGCTCCTGCTACACAATACGCCTCTGAAGAGGGCCAACAGCAGCGAGATGTCGCTCACATTTCTCCACACAATGACGGTGTCACCAGTCCACTACACCCCTGAGGAGACTGGCAACATCGCTGCACCGCTTTGTCTTACGATGGTGCCGAAACACCACCATATGCCCCCAAGCCACCGACGGCGCAGTGCCACCCACTAGCGTGCTTCCGAGACCAGCGGCGGCGGCGACGGCGGCAGCGGCGCACTAGCGTACCTCTGAAGAGACTGACGGTGTCGGCCGACACGTCCGGCGGCCGCAGACGGACCTCCACCACCTGCAGCTGAGCGGTCAGTGGCAGGTGGCGCAGGCTGCGCAACCGCTGCCGGAAGCCGGCCGTCATCGTCACGGCGTCCACGTCCACCAGCTGGGCGGTGAGGCGGCGCGGGCAGCGCTCCCACGTGCCGTGCTCCTCCAGCAGCATGCGGCAGTTGAGCGCGTGCAGGTACACCGGGTCGCCGCCCTCCGCTGCCAGCCGGGGGCGAGTTAGGGACGGCCGCGACGCGGCGGTCAGGGCTGGGACAGCTTGGTGAGGATATAATGTGACAACTGCGCTGCTCTGGACATCGATGAATAGGTCGAGACAGGAGACAACATGCACCTGTGGCTACAGATAGAGCTGGTACAGCACCACCAAGACTCAGCTCTTGTTTGGTGTCAGATAGGTAACCCTTGTGGCGACGCCACTAATTCTTGTATGGAGATCAGTTACACGAGCCTCTATCGATAGGACCCGCTGACCTTTTCTCCTCAGTTCATGTTCCAAGGCTTAACTATCGACCAGTTTACCGCGCATTCAGGTCGTACTCAACACCCTGGTAGACGCTGTCCACACAAACGCCTGACATTGTCCAATCCCAAACTTCCGTCCCCACATGACGGGCAGCACAGACCGACACTCCGCGCAGCCGCTCTGCGGCCCGGCGCACCGCCCCGGCCCAGTTCCCAGTGGCCCCACTGACCTTGATAGTAGTAGAGTGGCTGGTCGTGGTCGTCGCGGCGCGGCTCCGCGGCCGGCACCTCCAGGTCGGCGACCGTCACCTCGCCGCCGGACGCCTCGCTGACCGAGCGCTGGCGCACCGAGCCGTCGCCGGCCGGCGGCGGCGGCGAGACGGCCGGCGCCTGCGCCTCCGCCTCCGCCTCCACCTGCTCCACTGTACGCTCGTCGAACGCCGACTGGTAAACGACGGTGTCGGCGGCAGCGGCCGTGGGCAGCGGCGTGACGAGCTCGCGCGCCGTCGCCGGGTCAGGCCGCTGCGGCCGGGCGCGGCTGGCGGCGGCGCGCTCGGCCATGACCACCTCCTGCTCAGCCAGCTGACTGAGTGCCTGCTCCACGAAGCAGGCCTCCGGCTCGTGGCGCAGCTCCGCTAGCTGGCGCTCCAGTGCGGCGCGCTCCGGCGCCAGGATCTCAGACGTTACCTGGCGAGGCCGGACGAGGCGTTACACATGGGGCCCGTGGACGAGGTAAAGACGAGAGATGCCACACGGCCACAAAGTCCGAACTGGTGATATCTGCGACAAGGTGGGACAATGCCATTCAGGATATGTTATTTGGAGGGTCCTGCCAGTTGTGCAAATACAACACTCCATGCATCATGGACTAGGATTCCAGTGAAAACCGTGCGCTGCAGGGAGATCAGTTATGTGAGTCATTAGCAGCGCGACCCACTGACCACATCTCTCACATTGATGTTCCAGGGTTTAATTATCGACCAGCCCACAGTACAAGCAGGTCGTACTCAACGCACTGGAAAACGCCGCCCACGCGTATGTCCACGCCCGAAGCTACCTCAGCCTTCGCTCCGAAGATGCAGCCGGCGGCTGCCCACTGCGTGGCGCCGCCGCCCGCACTTACCTGTTCGGGGGAGACCATGATCAGCTTGGCCAGGCGCAGCTTGCTCTCGGGATCGGCCAGCGTGATGATCTCCTCCCAGGGCTGCTGCTCGTCGGCCGGCTGGCCGAGCAACGAGAGTCGCTGGCGGCGCATCAGTCGGAAGGTGACCGTGTCGCCGAGTCGCGCCGGCGTCCGCGCCAGCAGCCGGCAGCGGCGCACCTGGTCCGGGTGCACCGGCTCTTCGCAGATGGGACACTTGCGGCTGGCCTGGTCCGACAGAGCCAGGTAGTGCAGTAGGCACGCGCAGCAATAGGTGTGGCCGCAGCGCGTGATGCGCGGCACCGTCGGCGGGTACAGGCAGATGGGGCACGTAGTGGGCTCCTCCTCGCGCAGCCACACCTGCTCCACGCACGCCCAGTCCACCAGCCGGTCCGGGTCGCCAAGGTTGGCCGCGTAGTTGGCGTCATCGCGCACCAGCAGCTGGCACCTGCCGGCAGCGCACAGTCCGTCAGCAGCCCGCTCACGGCCTGCCTGACTCCATACCACACTGGCAGTGTTCTGAAAAGAACCGCACTCCACATACAACTGTGAGCAGCACACGAGCATCAGCACGCCTGCCAATGGACCAGTGTCGACGCCAGCGTCGGGCCGCACAGCCGACGCAGCGTCTGCCGGCGGCTCACCTGGCCTGCAGGTACTGCTCCTTGACATGTCTCGGCCGGAAGACGCGCGACGCCGGCCAGTGCGGCCGCTCGTGCTGCTGGTTCGACCGTTGCTGGTGCCACTGCGAGCTCGAATAACGCTCAGCGTGAGCGTCGCGCGCCGCCTCGCACCGGAAGTTCACCAGGTAGCTGGCGTCCAGGTACCCCTTCTTGCTACCCTTACTGAATACGGAGCTAGCTTCGGCCGCGTGAGCTACCTGCGGGCGGAGGCAATCTGCTGTACGGACCTGGCGGCTGTCCAGCAGGGGAGATAGATATGACAACAATGCATTGGCACTGTGCATTTTTTGTCATTCACGACCATCCAACAGCTCCTTTGAGCTGATCTTTTGGTACAATAATACTTTCAAGACTTGGCTTGTATGTTCAATACCTATCCTAACCAAATGCAATCCCTAAACTAAAATGGACAACCGAGCTCAAGCAATGCAACTAACATAACCCTGTGTCTTATTAATGGCTATGGTCCTGTTGCGATTTTTGGGACTTGACGAGCATGAAAGCCCTTGTCTGGATTGCTGTCAATGCAATTATTTGCTCAATGCGTCTGACAGAACATTTGGGGATGATTAAGATATCCACCCAGCAGGCCAATGCTAAACTATGTCACACACATCGCGCCTTTAAGTGCTGGCCTTCACAACTGGGAAGACAAGTGAAGCATTACATCGCGGGATAAAGCTCTACACTCCAATCTGAAACACGAGCAGCTGATGCATCCCTCCAGGATCAAAAGTACTGCCGCACTGATGCTTTGTGCTCAGCAGCACCACAGGATGTGGCGCTGGCTGGGGCTGCATGGTGCCACTGGCGACTTTGCCCCCGCAGCTCAGCACCTGTTCTCGATGACTGTGTTCAGCGCCAGAAGCGGCCTGGCCGCGCTCTCTGGGCCGCCTGTCCACGCCCTGCCGGTACCGCTGCGGAGCCGGCCGCCCCACAGGCTGAGGCCGACGGCCACGTCCATTTCGAGGGCTTGCATTATACTCTGCAACGGACAATGGCAATGTATGTGTCAGAGGGACTGCATACTTTTTCATATGCTGGACACATTAAGGGGACCTTTCCCACAATGAACACAGTTCCCTGAATTTCACCTTAACCATAGGTTGAACACAGCAAAACTCTCCAATTGGTTTTAATGATTCGCCTCCTCGTGACTGACTTGTCAAGGGCATAATATTCTGCTCGCAGTTATGCCTTGAACAGATTTGTAAACATTTGGAGGGAAGCTGCATAGAAATGGGCATCACAAGTATGAAGGACATATTTGTACTCTTCCAGAGCTGCCATGTGGTTGGATTTTTGGCCACTTCCTGGTATCCAAAGTACAAAAATGTTATGGGAGCTGCAGACTTAAACCATGTTAAATTTGTCACTTATGGGTGTGAAATTAAAGCTGGTAATTCAGGCTTTACAAAAATACCCTTTGAAGTTGAAAAACGTTGCTATAAATGGCCAAAAACTGTTCGGAGACAGCCATCTCACTCCGGCAAAAACACCAGGACACCAGAGCAACATGAACCCATAACTTAGGCCCGGCAACTTAAGGAGAGGGGTTTATTAGGACAAAACATCAATTAATTGTGACATAAGTTATCAAATTTCACAATGATATCAGCTAAAGCACATCAAAATCCATAAAGACCTTGCATTATCCGCCGGAGTCAGCGAAGCGACTGACTCCAATCCCTTTTGGCCGGCCTACACCGGTCTGTCAGGTATTGTACTTGCCCTGGCTCGGTAAAGCGGTTAAGAGTGCGGTCTGTCTCTATTGTTTGGGTGGGATGTGCAGGGCCTTGCATGTTGACTGGGAGTGGGAAGGTGGAGGCATGAATGTTTGGCTGTTTTTAACACCAGTAAGCTGGTGGAGCATGCGTAGCGTGACCATGGTGGGCGTGAGTAGCGTAATCATGGTGGAGTATGAGTAGGTGGCTGTCTGTGGCATGTTCATGTGCATTTTTTGTGTACCATTTTTGTCTGGATACGCTTATCATACCCATGCTCCGTTTTGGAGGGTGCATAAGCCCCGTGTGTAGCACCCCCCCATTTTGGTGATTGTACAAGCCTGATGCGTCCAATGTATATGCACACGTGTTTCACAGTGCAGAGCATAAGCCTGTGTTGTCTCAGTGTGCCATGTTCAATCTTATGTTTTCTTTCATTTAAAGTGCTTTTACATGAATTGCTGTATATGAAAAGTGGCACTTTTGTTGAGTGCCATCCATTGTACTCTTATCTCTCAAAGATACCTTACAAAAATAACACTACACAAATAGAGGAAAGTGGTGTTACTGGTAATGTCACAGCTTGCCGATGGTAATATCACAGGTTGTAAATGGTAACGTCACAGGCTGCCAATTGGAGCACCACACTTTGTCAATGGCAATGTCACTATCCACATCACCCAAGCAACATGCAAAATTTGGTACTGAGTAAGTGACAGCCCTCAAAATAAAGCATGGTTGTTATTCCTGGATTTTCCTGGGCAAATGAAAACAAGCCCTGGAAGAAGAGCAGTGGGGTTATACAAAACAACAAGGTCCTGGTCCACCCACTCCAGGCAGCTTTACACTGTAATTGTTTAAACTCAGTGCTCCTAAACAAGGGAGAAAACAATTTCCCACCCTGGACCAATTGTTTTTTGTTCCCACAATAATTCATCACTCCAATCGCAAACTGACCTGATGCTGGCAGAACCACATGTGAAAACTGCCAGCTTTCTTTAGTTTTAGGATTCCAATTGCAATGACAGTTAAATCAAATATGCTGAACTGCCTCAATTTGGAAAAAAATCTGGGACAGTCTTCAAGCCTCAGTTAGGAAGATGATGATGGTAAACATGCAATCTTGAGAATTGGTCAATTGATGCTATTCTAGCCCCAAATAACACCAAATACCAACTAAAACCAGTAAACTACCTGGAATAGTCAAAAACATGGCCAGCACCTGACCAGTTGGCACCTGTAACTAGTTTCCAACTGGTCCAAGGTTATCAACCAGTTACTGACTAGACTTCCCATTGAATCCAAATCTAGTGCCCAACTGGTTCATCTTTCTACAGCTTGCAAACTAGCTGAGAACAAATTGACAAAATGGTAAAAAACAAATTTACAAGCCGGTTTTGAACTAGTCAGGAAACTAACCTATGAAAAGTTACAACTTGATGGAGACAGGCCAATGGTTCACAACCTCATGACCACCACACCACTATCGCACACACATTTACAGGAAGGCCATGAATACTGCTTCTCTATCCATGACGTGACCTTGACAGGTCATGTCACTTGACAGGTCAAACATTTCCAGAGTTCACAGCTAAGATATGGACCAGGAAACTTTATCATGTATAATGCCTTGTCAGTGATAACTAGCACACTCCCTGCGGGGACTGTCATGATGGAGTGACATCACTGCTGACAGCTGACAGAGTAACAACTTCTTTCAACCCAGTGAGTTTTGATGCAGTGCCAATTCAACTGCTGATAAATGCAACATGGAATAATGTATGTAGAATGACAGGCAGTTATCCAAATGTGCCACTACCTTTGTTACACAGCAGCTTTACATCAGCATATAACTATATAAGATGACTTCTTGAGACAACAGCAAATTTATACAATCACCCATAAAAAGATAAGTATTATTTCATGCCATTAAGAAACATTAAGCACATCACAATAGCAAAAAATGGTGCTGGACACTAACTGGTCATCAAGTTAGTTAAGCATGGCAAAGAGTCCCCCCCCCCCTCCCATCCAAGTTTAATTTCAAGAGACTAACTTTACCAAATGTCCAAGCACAGTTGCTGTGGAGGGTGGAGTGGCAATCTCCTAAGATATGGTTGCTGTCAAGGGTGGGGTGGCGGATCTCCTAACAAACTTAATCCTAAAAAACACATCCCCAATTGTAAGGCAGGCCTTATTATGTGAGAACCAACAATTGGTGCTCACATTTCTCCTGGGCAATTTCCTCTGCTCAGGCTGACATGCTGACATTACACACCAAAACAATGCATTGAGTGTCATATTGCACATCATTTCATATATGCTGTATGCTTAAGCATCATTATGCCATAACAAACATGCAATATATTGGCAAAATAAGACATTGTATGCTGAGCTGGACAATAAACAAATCACAACCTTGAAAGCAAGCATTCACCCACAAATTGATGTATGTTGGCTTCATTCATGGCTGCACCCCAGCATTCTTACCAGGATTTAGCTTCGGTTTTGGCTCCAAATTACATTTTCCCAACGCAGCCAACTTGCCAGAATTTTTCTTCTCCATGCTTGGATCGTCTATCGGCATGAATAGCCAGTGAAAAGAAAGGAGACGGGAGACTGCAAACGCATGCAGATGCGTCGACACTTCCTTGGTAGAGCTTCATTTTAGTAAGCCATATTTGCGACGGTCGGTATTAAAAATGGTGAGCTGTGCTCGTATCAACAACTCGGCCTGCAGTCCGGGAGCTTGGAACAAACGAAAAACCCTTGGGTGGACGGGTCCCCCAAGAGTGATTCAAATAGGCGTATGCCGTATCAGCCTTCGCAAGCGTGGCCGTGCCACGCGGAATATATCCGCCTCCCGACTTCCGTTCGCAGCCCCCCAGCCGAATTCAATGGCTGACTTATGAACTTTTTGGCTAGTAGGATAATATTCGTATGCTAAAATTATACTACGTTACGAAAACTACTATGTATTGTATCACTCAATTCTGTGCATTCTGGCTGTATCAAGGATGTTTTGTAAGTAAAATGAATTTCTTGAGCTAAAAACTAATTAATGGTGAGTTGAAAAGTGTTTTTATCTCGAAATATTTTGCAAAGAACAACTATATAAAAAGCAAATATCTAGTAGCTATATCAATGCAGACGGACCGCAACACTTAGAAGCACTCAGTTTAGGCAGACTAACACTGAGCACAAATATCATAGTACTATTCCGGACCACGGGATTCTTCTTATTTGCGGTACCACAAAGATGATTAACATAAGGCAAGTTAAGATTATCCAAAATTAGTGGACAATTGTGCATTTTTAGGTGTGCAGCATGGCTACTCTTTCAATGTGACGTCATTCTGTTGTTTTATTCTGTGAAACATATACGGTGCCCTCAATAAGTCACAGGTTGTGGCATTGGCCTATACAAGTCTTTTATAGGTCAATGGGTTGTGGTGTCTCGCCCAAAGCCGATAGATTTCCTTATTCTCCGGGATATTGCACGCTTGAAACAATTTTTGATCAGAGAGCACGGGATGTTTCAGGTCGAAGCTTGTCCTGTATTAAAACCACCGATAAAATGTGCCTTGCCCCAGTAGCTCATAGTTTTCAGACATTTCTGAGTTAATCTTTCGAGCTATGGGTCATTCAAGGAGAGCTTGCTGAGTTGGCACTATCCGAAATAAGTCTGACATTTTCTCCCCGGAAATGCGTCACCTTTTTACCTGTTTGCGCACGATCATCACGTGGTCTGACATAACCTGAACAAGCGACAGCACCTCCCGTGAAGAAATCCTGGATCTGCCCCTGTGAGCATGGCATCGGAGTTAGCACTTTTCTCCCTTTTGCCATCGAAACAATTGACAAAATTTTATGTAATTCTGAGCTCCCACGTTTTACATCCTATTAGTTCTTGGGCTCCAGAAGATTGGGGAAAGGGGAAATTGAACATTGGGGGGGGGGGGGGGGAGGAGGCGTGGTCCACCTAAAGTAAAGCAAATTGACACCTGGGAATAGAACTGCATCTTGCAGTCGCGCCTGGGTCGTCTGAGCCGTATTTTGGGTCGGTCAGTGGGAACCACGGTTCGTCGTCGGTAAATTAAAATAGCAGATAAGGTGTGAATCCCGTACCGCGCTCTCCACGGTGTGTTTATTGGCGTCTTGACCTAAAGAAAACTAATTAACAAGCACTGGTGAGCTATGAATAGGCATATACGTCGGAGTTATATAATTGCTAGCGATTTTAAGTTGCGACAGCTAGTACTGAAATATCCTGATGCTTTTACTACACCCATCTCTACCACAATTTGTTTTTGAAATCCGAGGCGGGAAGTGGCGCGGCATTGGCGGCGGGCTAGTTTTAAAGGCGGAAAATACCCGGACTGGGTACGTTCTGCAGCGTTCTGCGGTATTGTTACACGGGATCGGCAAGATTTTCGCAGGCTGCTTCGTAGGAAGGTTCGTATTTCTTTGAGTGAAAAGGGGCGGGTTGTTTGAACGAAACATTGGATTGGTTGGTGGGCGCCTACCTTCCTAAGGACATATCCAAAAGTGGTTTTGCCGTTCTCACAGTTTGATGCACCAGCAAAGGTGGTGCAATATGATCTCTGCAGCCAGCAGGCGCTAAAACCCCATTAACATCAGCAAAGACATGACTAGATATTGTGGAGTCTTACTGCAAACCTGTAGACATCGCAATCTTTGTTTACTTACCTGAATGTGGTTTGTATCATTACTGTGCATTGTTCATACAAAGGCAGCATTGTTTGCCATTAAAAGCAAAAATATTTACAAAGCTGTGAGTGTGATGCACACACACATATATATATATATATATATATATATATATATATATATATACATATATATATATGTATGCTACACTATCACTATCACCATATTTGTTTCAAAAATGACAAGTGATTACAAAACAGGTGGATGTGGTTTGGTGGTATGGGGATTGACCTCAGTGGATCTAGAAGAACATATGTAGTGTGTTGCATAAGTGAGGCTTCAGAATATGAGGTTTTACTTCATGTTGGCAAAACAGGTCATGCTTAGCATTTCAGCACCTAACTTAGGCTTCATCAGAGCAATCAAAATTAAACAAGCAATTTGATTTGAGATGGGTGAAAATAGACCACTTGCATTTTTATATAAATGATTGAAGAGTTCAGTGTAATCCTGAGTTTGATAATTGCCAGTGGGGCAGAGCACAGGTGTGGCACAGACATCTTTTACATTGGAGATATTTTTGTGGACTGGGCACAGTTACCCTGTGTCCAGCCTCACCTGCAGTGCAGTGTGGCAGCTTTTCCAGTGGCATGCCTGTGCTACACATTTCACATAATGGAGGTATTTTATTCTCCTGGTGGGGTAGGGGCTAAGTTGTTTGGTTGAGCCTCAATGCTAGCCATGAAGTGTGCTTAAACCAACAAAGTGTATGCTTGATGATGTACATAAGTGCATTCAGGTGCACTCGAGATTCCAAGTTAGGTGCATTTCAAATGGTTCAGTGAAGGGTATATTGGCATGGCCATTTAATATGATTATGACAGAACTGGTTAACATTTTCCTGCCCACATTTTTATTATACATGTAACTTGCAAAGCTCTCATGTTGTGGCTGAAATTTATCTAAAAGTGTACCTGAAACCCATGTGTACTGAATGAAAGTTTACAAAAATGCCCATCACTACACATGGAGCTGTGCCCTCAGATTTCAGGTCACCAGATTGGCAGTTGTCAGATGAAGTTGCATTCATTAAATGGCCCATGCCCACACTGATGCTACACCAGTTTTGAAGGCTGGTAGCTTCAGGCATGTAACACCAGATTTGAAAATTAAATATGCTGTTTCAGCTAATGGCACACACAGGTCCACAAAATTGGGCATTACACCCATGTCAGTTGGTATCATTTCAGATGGCAAATAAGTTCTGGGTTGGTTGACTATGGAGGCAAAGTAGTGTGATTGTGCACACAACCAGATAACGAAGTGCATTCTCAGAATGACCACTGTACACTAGAATCAAGAAGGATTGTTTTTGCAGGTCTCACACATTGTAGGCTCACAAAGTGTTACCCAAATGTTGATACATTTTACTTTTGCATGACAGCATGGGCTGAATGGGTCAGATTGAACAGTGTATGTCGACGTGGTCGGCGCGGTCGCCACATTTTCTGCGTGTCAACATCGGTGCGGCCACTTGTCCAATGCCTTTGCCATCATCCGATTAAAAACTCGCTGGTGTTTCGTCCATCTCACACTGCATTGGTCATAAGGAAGCTGTACCCTGCATTGGTCGATCTAGTTGATCTTCTTGTCTCCCGTGTCTTTTCCGACGAATGTGCTGCGAAACCTCGCGTGACGGAAGGGCCAAAGCGTTCGTCCCAGTGTGTTATTGTGTTGACTATTCGGTGATCACCGAATGTCTTATGATTGACGGCTGGGCTGAGAATGCCAGTGCCACGCTCTTCCGCGCGGGCCGCACCATCGCTGCTCCGTCGCCTAGCCGCCGCCAGACGCCCCCGCCTCCCGTGCCACTCGCCCGTGCCCTTTCCTAATTCTCCCATGGCACCTGCGGCAGCGGCGGCCGGCGGCGGCGGCGGCGGCGCCAGACGGTATTGATCGCGGAGATGGGACGAGCCGGGCGGGAAGGTGACCGCGGCGCGCCGGCAGTGACCCTGGCGCGGTCAGGGCCTCCGCTCCGGCCACGCCGGGCCCGCCGCGCCCGGCAGGGTCAAGGTCGTCGCCGCAGCCGGCCTCCGTCAGCGTGTTGTGTGGTGGTGCGGCATCAGTCGCTGCCGGTCTCTACATGTTTCGCGACTCGGAAAATTGGCTTTTCTGGGCGTGTCCGTGATTTGCTGTGGTGAAGGCTGTGAATCATGTCAGTCCAAAGCTGTTTTGAGGTAAGACGTGGGACGTGCCGCAAGTCCATGTGTATGCGAACTTTGGCCAGTGGAGCCGTCGCCCCCTCCCCCTCCCCAGAATCTCCGATTGCAGCGCTCGTTGGCTACGCCACCATGTTCCGGATGCCGTGCTGCGGTCGTGGTGTGACGCCGTCGTGCCTCCCCTGTCATGTGCTGTGGCCGTGGTGTGACGCCGATGCCGTGCCCCCCGCCCCCGCCCCTGTCATGTGCTGTGGCCGTGGTGTGACGCCGGTGCCGTGCCCCCCCCCCCCCTCGCCCCTGTCGTGTGCTGCGGCCGTGGCGTGACGCCGATGTCGTGCCCCTTCCCCCATCGTGTTCTGCGGCCGTGGTGTGACCCCTCCGCTTTGCCTCCCCTGTCGTGTGCTGCGGACGTGGTGTGACACTTCTCTCTGTCGCCAGATGTCGGATGAGAACCGGCCGGAGGCCGCGTCACAGCGGCGCACGGCGCCCTACCCCGCCGGCCTCAAACTGGCCGCCGTCGCCGACCGACCTGTCCTGAAGGAGACCAACCGCGGCCCGAACGCTCAGGTCAGTGGCCGACGCCAGGTCGCCGACCTGTGGAGGTCGGTGGCCGACCCCAGCTCGCCGACCTGTGTCATGAAGTGACCTGCGGAGCCGGGGACAGCCCGACTCAGGACGATAGGATGTACGAGCACTCATGGAAGGGCTCCGGCGCGCGCTGACCCGTGCTGGAGGTCAACTGAGGTCGGAACGACAGGATAAGCGACAGTAACTTGCTGCCGTTTTGCCTTGTATCATGAATATGACTATTCCACCTCTTTGTGATAAGGCTGCTGTCGTAGAAAGCCGATGCGATGGAGGCTGAGTCTTTATACCTAGGGACAGTTGGTTGGGCTCCGGAACAACGCTTTCGTGCTTGGCAAAAAAGGTTCTTGCCGCAGTCATTTTCCAGATGACATCTGTTTTTGATTACATGCATTTTCGTTGCCAGGCCCATCAGAACTGAACGGATATTCTTAACAATAACTCGTGTCATTACTTAGGCTTTCTGGTAGCTGGTAAATAAAAATGCTTCATGCCGTTCGGCGGCCAAATCGGGCTGGTTTGGACATTCTCCAGTAAGCGGCCCTTTGTGGCGGCAGATCAGCAGGCCCGCTCTGATGACAGGCGTAAACAAGGCCCAGGTGGTACGGGGGCTGGTCCGTTCCCTTTGTTTCGTCTGAGATGTGATCTTTCTTCAAATATTTCCGTATGTGAAGTGTTCAAAGTAGAGTCTTCAAACAAGGCCTAGTACTTGAGTGTTTGCGTAAGCTCCCAGGAGAATGTATCGGTGTGACTAGTGGTGCCATGTCCACATCTGGGCCGGCCTCCTCCCTCCCCACTCTCGTCCAGGCCGCCCACGCATGGCTGGCAAGTTCGCGCACACCCGGCCCACACTCGAGTTCAAAGCGTCATTGGGGCCGCGTCCACGCCGCTGCCGAGCTGCTCCGGCTGGCCGTGCAGGGCGGCGTCGGCGGCGCGCGAGCCGACCGCGTGGGCTTGCCTGCGCCAGGACGCTGCCCGGCGCAATCAACTCGTTAAGCGAGGTCTGGACTCTGTTGAGCATATTTGTGCGGTTGGCGGTGATGATTGACGACTAAGCTTCAACTGGACCTGCCCGTCGAGGAACTGCATCCGTCGCAGAATCATGTAGCTTGCGCGATCCACCGAATCAGCAACTCAAGGCGAGTGTGTCTTCTGAAGTGAAGCTGCGTGGGCGGACGGGTATGGCGGATGTTCTGGCTCGTGGGCGGACGGGAGTTAAAAAGCAAGGCTTAGCCTTAGTAGCCCCGGACGGCGCGGCGCAACGGCAGCGCCACGGCAGCCCCGGAGCGGCGCCACGCAGTGAATCAGTTCCATGGCGGCAACGGCAGCACCACAGCAGCCCCGGAGCGGCGCCACGCAGTGAATCAGTTCCCATGGCGGCAACGGCAGCACCACAGCAGCTCCGGAGCGGCGCCACACAGTGAATCAGCTCCACGGCGGCAACGGCAGCACCACAGCAGCCCCGGAGCGGCGCCACTCGGTGAATCAGTTCCATGGCGGCAACGGCAGCACCACAGCAGCCCCGGAGCGGCGCCACACAGTAAATCAGCTCCACGGCCGCAACAGTAACGCCGCGGCGGGCTGCAGGCGGAGGGGAGCCACGCAGGATGTGAAAAAGGCAGCCACCTTCGGTCCTAAGCGCAGCCGTTTGAATGGGGCGCTGCAGCCTGATAAGCCCCGTCGCCACATCGTCATCACGCCCAGCTGGGCGATCGGACCGCCACACGCTCGAACGGGCCGCGGCCAGCGTCAGCTCTGATGAACAGGCCGGCGGTAGCCAGCGTCTGCCCTGGTGAACAGGCCGGAGGAAGCCAGTGTCTGCTCTGGTGAACAGGCCGGCGGCAGCCAGCGTCTGCCCTGGTGAACAGGCCGGCCGCGGCCAGCGTCAGCTCTGATGAACAGGCCGGCGGCAGCCAGCGTCTGCTGTGGTGAACAGGCCGGCGGCAGCCGGTGTCTGCTCTGGTGAACAGGCCGGCGGCAGCCAGCGTCGGCTCGCTGTAAAGGGAGTATGCTACCTTTGGGGCATATTACAGAAACATACTCTGGTGAAACCTCAGGACTAGTTACGTGTAATAACAGAAGTGCGGTGACACTGCAGCACCGACAAGATCTGATGAAATTATTAGTAACTATTTTCGAGTCCAAATTGCGCTTATCAACGTTTTGTCACAACACCACACTTTTGTCTTTGTTGGCCCTTAGTGTAACCTGAGTCAACGGTGGTTGACAACGATGAAATCTGCTGAGGGCCGTCGCCAGCTGTTACGAACCTGCACATTGCTTGTGCTGAAAAGTGGTTCCTCTTCTGGCGTGAATGACGTCAGTACAAATGAACGTGCGTGATTGTTACAGCGGGCGCAACCATTTGCCAAGAAACGCATTGGTTGAAGTTTGAACCAGCGGGTCATTATAGAACGTGTAATGCGTCTGTTTCCCAGTGCGAAAGTACGCTTCGAAGAGAACCGCTGTGCCAAACGCCATGTGGGAGAAATCAAAACCATAGCATGAAGTTTCGCCCAATTCGCGTGATGACGGCTCCATTTTTGTATGCATTTATCTCCGAACAGAATGCTCCAAGGTTTCGTAGCATGTATTGCCTGATCACTTTGACCAATTAATGTACTGTAAACATGGCAAAACAAACGTTGGAAAAGGAAGCAAAAGAAGAGTGTTAATTTCATAATGATAAACGCGCAGGTCCAATGCTGTTTCTGTCGTGTAAGCGGCCATGTCAAATAGGAATTCCGAGTTGTTCAGGATTTACAGGAAACTAGTAGTACCGATCAAATTGAACGCGTCAGATCAACAGCGAGTCAAAAGAGACTTGCTGCTCTTCAGCTTAGCCGTTTATGCAGGAGTTTAAGGTGAAAAGTAGTTTTACGAGTGTAAGGTGTCCTGGTACAACGCACCCTTTCTGGCATACTGCTAAACCATACTTAACATTCTACCGAACCGTACATACAGTTTGACTGTTTTCACTTGCCATCTAGACGAGGTGGGAGTTTGCCCGATTTCATTAAATGGATGCCAGTTACAGATGCCAGGTGTCACTACACCACAGTTTATGAAACGCGTATTTCGAACATTTCGGCCATAATTGGTACGTGTCGTGTGGTCCAACGTAATCGCTTACGTCATGCCTGTCGGGCCGGCCTCCGGCGGAGCGCGTCCGGATGGGCCGTAGCTGTCCGGCGTCCCGAGCATCGATTGCCGGTGCTCTCATGGGGAGAGCGACGCTGGATTTGTCACACGTGGTAGGCGGATCATGCCGCCACAATGTGCGTCCAGTTGCAGTGTCGTACCCGATCGGGCTTCTGTCTAAGGCGGTCCGGTGCTGGCGAGTCCGTGGCTTGCGACGTACTGTGAGCTCAGGCGCTCGTCCGCGGCACGTGCCGATGCGATCGGGCTGTCCGTCCCGTCTGTTTTTTTTGTCGGCTAGCCACCGCGACGGCAAAGCCATGGCGGCACGACACCACACAAACCCAGAGTTAAAACAAACGTTAGTTCGAGCTCTTGGCAGAATGGTATTGTAGGAGAAACTTAGACCATTTCACTCGCATCACATGCATACACTGCCAATGTACGATTTGCATGAGCGCGTCTTTCAGTCCGGCGGGCCACACTCACTGTGAAGTGTTGTAATAATGACGCGTGAAGCATGCAAAATGCCCATAAGTATACTGTGTCGAATGTTCGGACATGAATGATTTAATTACATGTTGCCTACACCTATTCTCCGATCAAATCCTGGTCATTCCGCCGGTCGCAATAATGGCTCGAAATTAGGTGTGAGGCGCGCACTAAATGGGGCCTGTTGGTAGAACTCGAACACCAAGTCGAAGGATAGTTGCGGCCAGATAGCCTCGCGAACGCGGCACTTGCTTCAAATTCTTGTCAAACCCCAGTGCTTGTAGGGTTGAAATGATGTGAAAAATCAGCCCGGCTGGTCTCACCGTCCGATTGTCGAATTACAAACTTCACTGCCCATAACGCACACCGCTTCGTCCGGAAGATCGCGCCATTCATTTTTAGAACGGGGGGGGGGGGGGGGGAGGATGAAACGCTCCTTGCCGGTCTTACCTGAACTGTGTGAAAATGGCTCGTGATCCAAGGCCGTTTACCGTGACCGGCAGGCGATTCATCTGGTCGGCCCGGGTTGTGCCAAAATTCTCCAGAAAGTGTTTTGACATTTTAGTATTATGACACAAAATATTACGAGATTCAGCAGCCCATCGACTGCAACAAATCTCAACCGTTGTGGATATCGCGTCTGTTCTGCTGTACAAGCTTTTTTGGAAGTTGCGTTGTAAACGTCGCCATTAAGTCTTCAGAAAAGGCTTAATTAATATAATTTTTTAGAAATTTTAGATTTAATTAATAGAAAAAATAAAATTCGGATATTTGACGAAGAAATATCCGAATTGAGGAGCCACGCGTTACGTTGACGCATTGATGCAAAAACGGTTTTTTGTTAGCCCTTATTTTCTAAAGTGATCTCATGCCTTGGGTTGGGGTCAAAAACTGAAACTGGATTTTCGTCACGTTCTGGGGGAAAACTGACGCTTCATCTTGGACTCCATTGCGTGCGGCGAGGGGGCCTAGGAAAGGAGGTTGCGGGCGGCCTCTCACTCCCAGCCCATCCCCACCGTACAGCAGCAACCAGACCTGAGAACGCTCTGCGAACGCCCGTCTGGCCTGGGTGCGGGCGTGCATCGTGCGTGTTTGAGCCGTGCTGCCAGCCGGTGCGATGTGACGCGATCTCTGGCGGATCGCACGTCGAGTGGGTGAGGCCGCTACCTCCGGCTGCCGGTGAGGCGGACCGGCCGGCCGGCCGGCCGGCGCGGCGCTGACCCGACCGACCGTTGGCCGTTAGCGGCGCCACCGCCGCCGCCGCCCTTTGTGCGGCCCGGGCCGCGGGTTGGTGCTGCCGGCCGGCCGCCGCTCAGAGCTGCAGGGGCGGCGTCAGCCCGGCCGCGCTCGGC